TTCCTGACCTTCATATTAGGGCTTCACCCCATTCCACGCTCTCATCTGGCACAAAGCAGAAAGCACCTGCACCAGCTTGGTCCTTCAGGATCCTAACAGAGTTGCAGATCTCATGTGTACCCTCGATCACTGCTCAGCTCACAGGAGGCAGGGAGTCCCCTGGCGGATGAGTGGATGAGCCCTATTCCAGCCACCATCATGCCAGAATCCAAGATACATATTTACAGGAACATTCAGACTGCTCCTCTAATGTCCTTTTCTTTCCTCACAAGGGCTATCCTTGGTAAGGGGCAGATCTAGCATCTGGAATGTTTGCATACAAGATGGGCTAGCACTCAGGATGCAGCCCACAATGGAGGTCCGGCAGTGAGGAATGAGAGCTTGTGGGATCAATTTCCCTCTTCTCTTTCTTTCCTCTTCCCAGTGGAATCCCCCAAACTACACCTGAACTGGCCTTGAACCAGAAAGGGCAGGAGGTGAGCAGAAGCCATGCTTCTGGGGGCTGGGGGTGCTCAGCATTACTGATGAAGGTAAGAATGAAGAGACGGCATGGCCCAAAGAGGGGAGTTTCTGCGAGTGGGGCCACGCTGTCAGCAAAGGCCAGAGATGAGGCACAATTAGAAATCAATCGGTGCCTGTTGTTGTCAATCTGCCTTCCTCCTTCCCTTCCCTTCTTTGCAAATTTATTTTGTTTTAATTTCAGTAATGTATAAATATAGATATCATGGTGTTTTTCAAATTTAAAAACAGAGTCCTGGCTGGGTGCAGTGGCTCACACCCATAATCCTGCACTTTGGGAGGCCTAGGTAGGCGAATCACCTGAGGTCAGGAGTTCGAGACCAGCCTGGCCCACATGGCGAAGCCTCATCTCTACTAAAAATACAAAAAGTAGCTGGGCATAGTGGCAGGCGCCTGTAATCCCAGCTACTTGGGAAGTTGAGGCAGGAGAATTGCTTGAACCCGGGAGGCAGAGGTTGCAGTGAGCCGAGATCATGCCATTTCACTCCAGCCTGGGAGACAAGTGAGATTCCGTCTCAAAACAAAAATAAAAACAAAAACAAAAAACAGAATCCTTCCTCTCCATTGCCATTCTACAAATAAAGAATAGATGGTGTTCTTCACAAGTTAAAATTCTTAAATTCACAACCCCAAAACTGATTATTGACTAACTCTTATACAATTTGGGTTGGGGCCCCAAAGTGGTTCTTTTCAGGCTTATGACTCAGTGGAACAAACGTATTCTTCCTTTCAGACATCATCTCTTTTCAAGGTTCACCCTCACGGGCCGTGTTCCTTGTTGGAATTGATAAAGTGTTTGGTCAAGAATACTACAGGCAATGTGCATAGCCCAGAGAGCTGCAGCAGAGAAAAAATGTTTTTTTATCTTACCACTTCTCCAAAAGCAGTGGGATGATCCTATGCAGCTGTTTCATAAGAAATTTGTCTGACCTGATGGAATAACTTTTCTTCAAAGATTAATAAAAGAAAATAGCATTCAAGAATGCAAAACAAGCCATTGTTACCCTAAACTCATCCTCACCTACAGCAAGCTCCACAGCTGTTCAAAGAGCAACTATTTCTATCACCAACAAACGACATGAAGAGATTTAAAAAGAGAAAGAGATCTATGTGAGATCCCGTCAAATTACACAATGACTGTGAAGATGAAATGATCCCCAGCATTACACTATCTAAATATAACATGTAATTAACAGTAGTCACCTGCCAGTCAGTAAGGCCATACAAAACCATTAAAATCAAGTTTGATAATTAGACATAAAATTGGTCAATTAGAAATGTAAAAACATCATATTTCTCGATTTGAATTCTCCATATAATTGCACCAACAGAATCCCTGCTTGTCCCTTTCTCCAGCTGAAGCCGCATTTCCCTGTGTCATTCAAGGAGTAAATGGATATAGGACTGATCGGCTGTTTTAAAACTCCATGGACAAAAAAAGCGAAATTAGCATGACTCTTTGGAATTGTTTCAAAGATATTTGGCTACTATGAATATTTTTCATCTTTCATTTTTATTACCTATATGATGTCAGTAGCTGTGGCAGGAAGCACATTTTGTCAATTAAATAATTAATCCCATAGCATAATAGTCCATGAGGAAAAATTGACATTTGTCAGGTTCAAAGACAATGAAAGCCTGGAAGGATTTTACATTATGCTTACTCAAGAAAAACATGATCTGATAGCAGACTTCCCTTACTCATTTCTCTCCTACACCTGCCACTCCCACCACAAATACTCCCCACATCAAACCACAGGAAGGAGAAAGTATCTGCAATGCCACCCTCACACTCATCCTCATTCACCCAATTACAAAATCATATCAATTTTATTTCCTAAATATGCCTGCAGTCTCCGCACACCTCACTATCTACACCATGAACATTTTAATTCCAAATTGACTAAAACGGGCTGGGCGTGGTGGCTCACACCTGTTATTTCAGCACTCAGGGAGGCCCAAGTAAGAGGGCTGCTTGAGGCCAGGAGTTTTGAGACCAGTCTGAGAAACAAGCGAGACCCTGTCTCTATTAAAACAAAATGTCTTTAAAATTCGCCAGGCATGGTGTGGTGTGCACTTACGATTCCAGCTACTCAGGGGGCTGAGGCAGGAGGATCTTTCGAGCCCAGGAGCTGTAGGCTGCAGTGAGCTATGACTGCCCCACTGCAGTTCGGCTTGGGCAACAGACTGAGACCTTGTCACTAAATAAATAAATAATAATAATAATAGACTTAAAAAATTGATTCCAATAAACCAAAGGGTGATATTTTACTGAGTTGCCTGTTTTTCACTGTGGCAACTGCACAGAGATTAGAAGCCAGGCCAGAGTCGGGCAAGCTTGGGCTCAAGTTCCAGCTGAATTTCAGGAGCCATGGGATCTCCAGCCTCTCCAAACCTCATACGTCTCAACCTGTGAAAAGAGTATGCTACCAGGACCCACCTTACCAGGGGGCTGCACACTCCTGCCTAGGGCGCTGACCAGCACGTAGGCAGCATTAGCTGTAACTAGCAGTCCATCCCAGCTATGTTTCTACAAAGTTTGGATTCACACACGTCAAGTGACCTGCAGTGCCATCACACACCGTGTGTGCGCTTCTCCATTCACTTCTGCTCTCCAGCAAGGCCCCCCTGGCCGCCTGGCACACTTTCTCTTTCCTCTGCCCCTTCGTATTCTGCAGTCCTTGGCTTGGAAGGAGTGAGGAATAACACTATTTGGCCCCCCTAAGAACTTCCGTTTCAGGGCTTCTACAAATGCTACCGCCAGGTTGTCAACAACAGTCTGCGCTGGATTAAGGCTGTCTAGGAGGAGAACGGTTCCGTGTGCTATTTTTAACCTGTGTAGGCATCATCTGTGCTGCCAAAAAGAAATGCTTGCCTGGAGTGGAGATGACCCCCAAACGCAGCCACATGTGCTGCTGTTTCCTTCGAATAATATTCCACAGTGTGGAGTTTGGGGTTTTTTCTTTTCTATAATAATAATAATAATAATAATAATTATTATTATTGTTTTCCAACAGGGCACTAAAGAGTTATTTTTGTTACAAAAAGCAAGACTTTCTTTACATTTGGTCCAGATCATACGCACTTCTACACTACTTACTATTTTTTAAATTGTTGAAAAAATGTACACTGATCATCTATTTCAGCTGGGCAGATAATATGAAAAAATGGGTTTCAAATGACAATACAGTGTACAAGCAACTAACAGTACATACCTCAAATATGTGTTGTATCTCCCCTGAAAAACCGATGAAAAATTTTAAGCTATTTTGTCCCTTTTCATAAAATTTGATACCAGTAATTAGTAAGGCAAGCTTTAGGGTATAAAAATCTCTCCTTAGCAAATCAAATGAGTTTTCTTTGATGTAAACCGGCTTGGGTGAGTGAACACTGTTTCAATCTAGTTAGAATGGCTCTTTGCACAATGCAGGGAAGAAAAGAACCATGGAAAATTTTCAAACTTTTGAATGATTTATTGCATTATTACTTTTTCTTCAATGTGTTCCTGCCCAATATCAAACTGTTAGTCACACTGTCTGTACGGTGATTGGAAAAGAATGAATATATTCTTTATTATTAAAGTTTAATTTATTTTTCCTCATTTCCAGATTAAATTAGCTAAGGGATGCTAAGTTATGTGTAAATTATACTGCACATTAGAAATGTAAGAGGATTTTATTTTTATTAATCTTGCCCACATCTCAAGACTGTATTAGAAGAAACAAAATATAACTACGCATGTCTAATAAAAATAACCTACTGTCTTAAGAGTGGAAATGGGTAGGTTTAGGATAGTGAAGTAAAGTTACAGGAATCATGATTCCACTGGGAACATCCTCAGGCCAAAACCAGTGTAAAAATGTTCCACAGATACACGCGAATGAGCAAACCCTAGTGGATTATATGGTGGGAAACCAGGAAGTGTTAAGGTATAAACTTAATTTACTGGGTTGCCTGGGAGAAAGACAACGGGAGCTTTCCGTGGCAGGCTCTTGTGTGAATCAGACAGAGGCAAACAGCAGGGCTGCTCGGGTGCTGAGATGATCTGGGATAACAAGCCACACTTTCTTGTGAGGGAAAGGTGGGTTTCTTCACCAACAGCTCCTGTTCTCCTTGTACCGGTTCCAACCACAGACAAAATGGCTGTGAGCACCTTCATTCAACTAAAAGGGAGCCCCAGAGACTGGAGTTTCAAGTTTACACAAGTTTGCACAAACGCTTGGACCATGTGCAGAATCATAAACCTGACGTATAGCAGATGAGGCTTTGGAATTCCCCACGTGTCAGTGCCTGTGCCTGGGGGGCCAATGTGCCCATCGGCGGCTTTCTCCCTCTCCTCTGGAATACTGTGTGATCCTCTAATATCTCAAAATCACAATCAGCAGATGGAACACCGAAGTCAGAAAACAGACATGTCACCTTGACACCTACGAGTTAGCAACATGTGAGCATTGTCGTATTTTACTAGGACAGTTACCCACCTTGTCTAGTGAACTCGTCTGCTTCTCTGTGAACCAAATCCTTCACTCTGTTGCCATAAAGCAGCCGCGAGGAATCATGATCAAAAGCTTTCAGTGTCTCGCTGGAGCTGTAGGACTTCTGTGTGGGTACCCGACACTCCTCATTGTCTGCGGAGGAATTGGTGTAGCGCCGTTCTTTCTCTCGTCTGCTCTTGGTCAGGGAGCAATAAGGCCTGCGTTCTTTCACATCCATACTTCATTCCTTCTGTGTGCACATCAGTCCTGCTGGTGACAACTTAGGCTCGGGGTTCAAGTCTCATTGGCCTCTCTGTAAAGATACAAGGTTTGCATGATGTCAGCATGACGTCCACCTAAAAACTGGCTACTCTCTACCCTTCTCGATCTGGGATGGTAGGAAACAATAGTATTGCTTACCTAGGAAACTGGCTTTCAACAAGAAATTCGTATTTCTGAAATTAGTGTAAAATATTTTGTATCACCAAGAGGTGAAGCACGCTTTCTGCTGGTGAGGGCTTTGAGTGTTTATTGAAGCTACTGTATCTGATTTACCCCACTAGTACAAAAAATAATTGGAAGTTCACCCTCAAATTTCACTACAGAAGCCAGCTAAAAATTGGCTTCAATAGTTTGTTAAATTTTCCACAATGGAAAAGTTAGAATGGCTTTTTCTCTTTATAGCATTTCTCCGTTCAAAATAAATTCCCTTTCTTTTTCTTATAAATGTACACTATTTTTTTCTTTTTCAATGTATTTTAAAGAGCAGGAGCAAATTGGGAAATTCTTGCTACTGAACTTTTTTTTTTTTAAATATATCTTACAAAGACTCTTTCTTCAGAGGGCACAATTTTCATGTTTTAAGAACTCAAATGTCTTGAATTGTGGAAAAAGCTGGTCCTCCTCCCACACCAGTCTGCTTAAAATGCATTTTCCTCTCTAGCAAAAGAATTTAATCAGCACTATCCTGATATTTAAGGTAATTCAAGTGGCTAATTTGATGGGGGGAGTTTCTTGCAACTTCACGAATAAGGAAGTCAAATGGTGTTTCTCTGCTTAAAAACTCTCTATTTCCTGAATTTGCTGAACTGACAGTGGAAAGGGTGGGTGGAAAAGGTCTGAGGCAAAAGACTGGGGACTTCAAGAGGTAGAGTGGCCCAGGACTAATCTGCATTTCAAATGGTCCTTCTTTGTCTTTATTCCTTCTCCTTTTGTCTCTCCTTTTAATCTGAAGGACCCTGAAGGCTTTATCTTCAGCCCTTAGTGTTTTCTTCCCACCCCACTAAATTCACTTTTTCCTATATTCACTTTTTCTTTGAGTGATTCCATAGTCAACTTGAAATCAATGGTTCCCAGCTGGCCCCAGGCCGCCTCCTTGGTTCCTGTAGTATCCTTCGGACTGACTGCTGTTGAGAAAGTAGTTTCTTCACTTCCAAAAAAAGTGAGTCCCTCTCTCAAAGAATCAGTGTCTCTGGTCTTGGTCTCAGTCTCTCTGCCTCTGTCTGTCTCTCTCTTTCTCTCTCCCCCACTCTCTCCAGCATGCACTGTCAGCATACACACCACACAGCTCATTAATGTGCTTCCAACTTGGAGCCTTGTGGCTGACTCTCTCCCATGTCAACTCAGCTTATCCTGGAGTTGTCAACAATTCTTGATCCTTTCTGTTGTAACATTACAAATGTTCCCCTCACTTTCAAAGTTTTGCCTTCCATCAGCTACAAGAAGAGTGGCAAGACTCCCTGGGCTGGAATAACCCCAGAGTTCCAGAGCCCAGACCTGGGAAGGTTTGGAGTGTTCCTCCCTGCTATGTCTTCAACCAAATCATACCCTCCTCTCGCCATGTTGCCAATGAAGGGTTCCCTTGTGGGGTTCCATATTTCTCTGCTTCCAAATATCGATATTGCTACCAAATACCGAGCTGTTCAAAGTAGTTGCTAACATTTTAGTTTAGTCTTGGAATATATCTTGATTTCTCTACCTTTGTCTTCTTTTCCATGAATGTGATTTTTATCTTAAAAAATGATTTTTCACTGACCCCTCTGATTCATTACTCCATTATTATATTTACAAATTCTTCCAAAAGCTCCTAAGAGAAACTGAATTTCTCATATTGTACCTTTCCTTTCAATCTTAAATTGAAATAATAAACATTTTCAAGGTATGGTGACAGATTATTTTTATACAAAAGGATTAAAACAACTTACCAATTCACTCTTTTTATTCCAACAAAGAGAAGTATTTTTTTAACTTAATTTTTTTTAATTTAATTTTTTTTTTTTTAGAAGGAATCTCGCTCTGTTGCCTAGGCTATAGTGTAGTGGCGCGATCTTGGTTCACTGCAACCTCCGCCTCCCAGGTTCAAGCGATTCTCCTGCCTTAGCCTCCCAAGTAACTGGAACTACAGGAGCTCACCACCACATCCAGCTATTTTTCTGTATTTTTAATAGAGATGGGGTTTCACCAGGTTAGCCAGGATGGCCTTCATCTCCTGGCCTCGTGATCTACCCGCTTCTGCCTCCCAAAGTGCTGGGATTACAGGCGTGAGTCACCACTCCCAGCCAAGAGATTTTATTTTATTATTATTATTATTTCGAGACAGAGTCTTGCTGTGTTGCCCAGGCTGGAGTACAGTGGCACAATCCCGGTTCCCTGCAACCTTTGCCTCCCAGGTTCAAGCAATTCTGCCTCAGCCTCCTGAGTAGCTGGAATTATAGGCACACGCCACCACACCCAGCTAATTTTTGTATTTTTAGTAGAGACAGGGTTTCACAATGTTGGTGAGGCTAGTCTAGAACTCCTGACCTCAGGTGATCCACTTGCCTCGGCCTCTCAAAGTGCTGGGATTACAGGCGTGAGCCACTGTGCCCAGCCCCGAGAAGTTATTTCAGATGAATATTTACTGGATGACTACTATGTGTTAGACTGTCTTCTAGGTGCTGAGGACAAAGAGTGGATAAATGTTCCTGTCCTTATGAGGCATACATTCAGTCAGGGAAACAGGTACATTCTTTCTAACAGAGTGAATACGTATGTCTAAGTTCCAGGGAAATTTTGTTTCCAAATCGTCTTGATCTTTTTGGAGGGAAGGCCCTATAGACTGAAAACTAAATGATCATTAAAAAGCTTTTCATTGATCAGAAAAATATAAATCGAGCATTTTTAGTAATAAAGATTCGGGATTTGAAGTCATTATGAAAGTTTCATTTCTTGCCCTAAATTGACATCTATTTTAAAATAAGTGTTGCTATATATACACATATGTATGCATTTTGGTACTTTAAAACTGAACTGATTGAAGCAAGGGGAAATTGTTTTCTGCTCTGCTGCTGTTTTGCTTCCATTAGTTGGACTAGGTATTGACTGGCAAACTCTGCCAGCCAAATCGGATCCACCACCTGTTTTTGTAAATAAAGTTTTTCTGGAACATAGCCCTTGCATTTGTTGACGTATTGTCCTTGGCCATTTTCATGCTACAAAGACAGAGCTGAGTGGCTGCAACAGGACTGCAGTGGTTTGAATTGCGTCTCCCGAAAGGATAAATCTTAACTGAAATCGTAACTCCCAGTATCTGCCACTGTGATCTTATTTGAAAATGGAGTTTTACTTTTATTTCTGCAGATGTAATAAGGTTACAATGAGGTCATACTGGATTAGGGAGGGCCCTAAACGCAATGACTGGTGTCTTTATGAGAGACAGGAGAGGAAAATTTGGATACAGGCACACACAGACACATAAGAAGGAAGGCCAGGCGAAGACAGAGGCAGAGATGGGAGCAATGACGCTGCCAGCCAAGGAGCACGAATGGCCGCCAGCAACAAACGGAAGTCAGAAGAGAGGCGCGGAGCGGATCCTTCTCTGGACTGCAGAGGTGTGGCCCTTGACTTCACACTTTTGACCTCCAGAACTGAGAGATTAACTTCCTGTTGTTTTAAGCCACCAGGGTTGTGGTCATTTGTCACTGCAGCCACAGGAAACGAACACAGAGACTTGATGGCCTGCAAGTCTAAACTATTTGCTATCTGGTCCTTTAGAGAAAACAGTGTGTAAACCTCTGATTTAAACCATCCATCTTTCCATTCTCTTTGTCTGTTTGGATTTTTTTTTTTTAGACGGAGCTTCACTCTTTCACCCAGGCTGGAGTGCACTGGTGCAATCTCGTTCACTGCAACCTCTGCCTCCCTGGTTCAAGTGATTCTCCCACCTCAGCCTCCCAAATAGCTGGGATTACAGGCGCGTGTCACCACACCCAGCTAATTTGTGTATTTTTAGTAGAGATGGGGTTTCACCATGTTGGCCAGGCTTGTCTCAAACTCCTGACGTCAGGTGATCTGCCCGCCTTGGCCTCCCAAAGTGTTGGGATTCACAGGCGTGAGCTGCAGCGTCCGGCCCCATTTGGATCTTTAAGGGCAAAAAGTATTCTCTCTACTGTATCATTTTCATGATACCATTTTATAATCTTGCAAATTAGATAATCAGTACGTTCTTTAACATAGTAATCACAATTAAAGATGCCACTTTGTGGTAATATTTCTAAAGTTTATAAATCAATACCAACTAAATGTTAATACCTAGTAATGGAAAGATGATTTTAGGTATTCTTAAGCTTTCTAAAACATCTCTAGCATCAAATATCTGAGTTTTCTTTATTTGTGAAACAATTCTCCAGTGCCACAATACATCAAGATGTAGTATTTTATTATGCCGTCAAAGATCAAGGCAATTTGATCTTAGACTGTAAACAATAAAAAGTCCTTTGTATCTCTCTTTTCATTTTTGTACATAGTTCAGACTCTTCGAGGATTTTATCTACACTGTAATATTTGCAACTACTGATATGCTTCATTGATGGAAGTCGATGGTTCAATATGACTTCAAAAGGCAGTTTTCTGTGTTATCTCTTCCACTCAAGGCTGAAGACGAGAAGGTTAAGAAATGCAGCTTAAGTAATGCCAAACTGTTAGAGCACTTTGATGGTGACTGCAGAGTCCTACGCAAGGAAGAGGGTCACTGTGTGCATTTTCAGCAAAAAGCATGTAATGAATATGACATTAGCAGCATCAGTGGGCAAAGCCTTTGAAAAATAAGGAAAGCCATTAGAAAGTTGACAAAAACAAATAGACAAAAAACAAAAAAACTTTTGATTGGCCAGGTTCAGTGTCTCACGCCTGTAATCCCAGCACTTTGAGAGGCTGAGGTGAGACGACTGCTTGAGGCCAGGAGTTCAAGACCAGCCTGGGCAACACTGTGAGACCACATCGCTACAAAAAAATTAAAAATCAGCTGGGCGTGGTGGCACATGCCTGTAGTTCTAG